ATCAGAATAGGCCTAAAGAGCAAAAGAACTAGGTGTATAGATAAGGCCCTGAGACAGAGTTCCTTTAAGATATCTAAGCAACCTTTTTACACCAGCAAAATGACCAAGGGTAGGACTATGCATATGCTGACAGAGTTGATTTACAGCATAAGACAGGCCAGGCCTTGTAATGGTTAAGTACTGCAATGCCCCAACTATACTTCTATAGGAAGAGGGATTATGAAAAGGAACATCAGATTTATAAGGCAACCCAGGCTTAACAGATATAGGTGAATCACAAGGCTTACAATCCATCATACTAGCCTTAGTAAGAACATCCTGAGCATACTTGGTCTGAGAAAGGACATAGGTATAGCCAGAGGTTGCAACAAATATACCTAAAAAATAGGAATGGTTGCCAAGCTCTTTCATAGAAAATGCCTGATGCATTTTAGTAATAAGAAGCTGAATATGTGTAACATTATTCCCAGTGAGTAGAATATCATCCACATAAACTAGAAAAGCAATGAAGACTGGACCATGCTGATATATGAACAGAGAAGAGTCACATTTGCTATTCTTGAACCCTTGAGAGAGCAAAAAGGATGAAAATGTAGGGTACCATGCTCTTGGTGCTTGTTTAAGACCATACAAAGCTTTGTGGAGCTTACAAACCTGCTATGGTTGAGAAGAATGCTCAAATCCTGATGGCTGCAACATGTAAACTTCTTCCTCAAGAATACCATGAAGAAAAGCATTAGAGATATCTAGTTGCTTGATAGGCCAATGGTGATGGAGAGCAAGACATAAAAGAATGCGAATGGTGGGCAACTTGGCAACAAGACTAAATGTTTCTTGAAAGTCAATGCCTTCTTGTTAAAGATAGCCTTTGGCTACTAATCTGGCCTTATGTCTAGCAACAGTCCCATCAAAATTCTCTTGACCTTAAACACCCATTTACAACCTATGGCATGCTTCCCAAGAGGAAGAGAAACAAGGGACCAATTTTTCTGGGCTTGAAGAGCTTGAAATTCTTCCAACATAGCCTGTTCCCAAATAGGAATAACCAAGGCCTCCTTGTGAGAGGGAGGTTCAACATCATGTGAAGAAAGAGAAGCACGTTTGAGAATGAGGAGAGCTGTTTTAGATCTAGTGAGCATAGGATGACAATTAGAAGAAGGAGGCACAGAAGGAAGGGAAACAGAAGTAGAAGGAAAATGCAACTGAATAGAAATGGGGTTAATAGGAATAGGAGAATGAAGGGGAGGAGAAATAAGTGGAAAAGAAGACTAAGCTGAAGAGGGACTAAGAGGTAAACTAGTAGAAATTGGAGGTAAACCAGTAGATTTTAGAAGAGAAAAAGAATTAGATGTTGGTGAAGCAGAGGCAATAGAAGAATGAGATACTGGTGAAACAAAAGCAGTGGATACAGATGAAGTCTGTAAAGGTCTAGAAGAAGAAGGTGAAGACCAAAAGAATGATTGAAGGAAAGGGAGCTGTGATGAAGAAACTTGATGGGCAAAAGGAAACACCTGTTCATTAAACACTACATGACGAGAAAGATAAATAGTTCCAGTTTTGAGATCAAGACACCTATATCCTTTTGCAAAAGAATGAGAGCCTAAGAAGACACACTCAATTGATTTAGGTTGCAGTTTGGTAGGATGATAAGGTTTGAGCCAAGGAAAGCATTGGCAACCCAAAACTTTGAGAAGAGAAAAATTTGGAAGTTTACGAAACAAAGTTTCAAAAGGTGTCTTATAAGCCAATTTGGAAGAAGGCAGTCTATTAATGAGGTAAGTGGCACAAGCAATAGCATCAAACCAATAATGCACAGGAATAGAAGAGTGATGAAGAAGAGCAATAGCAATTTCAGTGAGATGTCTGTGTTTTCGTTCATCTACACCATTTTGAAATGGTGTATGAGGACAAGAATGTTGATGAACAATTCATTGTGACACAGTGAGAGCTTTCATTTTGTTATTAAAGAATTCTATACCACCATCTATTCGAAGGATCTTAAGGTGAGTATCAAATTATTTTTCCGCATAAGTTTTGAATTCAAGAAACTTGGCATAAAATTCACTCTTATAAACCAATGGATATAACCAAGTAAACCTACTAAAGTCATCCATAAAAAGAACATAGTATTTATAACAAGAAGTGGATGAAAAAGGCCTCCCAAACATCACTGTGAATTAAAGCAAGGGGCTTATTTACAGTGGAATTAGACAATTGGAAAGGTAATCTATGACTTTTGGCAATACAACAGTCTACACAAACTTGAGATGTTACAGAAGTAGAGGAGTTTAGATGCAAGTGTGAGCTAAGATGCTTAAACTTCAAAGCACTAGGGTTCCCTAGCCTATTATGCCGAACATTATTAGAAACAGAAGCAGAACTAGACAACTTTTGAGAAGCAAAACTTGTAGGAGCTACTGAAGAATCATGATCAGTAGGTAGTGAAGTGGATGGAAGAAAGTGATATAAGCCATGAAGATTAGATCTTTTGTGAAGAATTTTCTTCATAAGCTTGTCCTGAATGACAAATGTAGTATCATCAAAACTGATAAAACAATTGTTATCTTGAGCCAATTTCTGAACAAAGACAAGATTAAAAGAAATAGAATATGAATGTAGCGCATTATTCAATTTAAACAAGTGATGTGGAGTTGGAAGAAGGCCTTTACCAATGTGCTGGAGAGGAATGGAGTTTCCATCTCCTATGGTAATCTGTTCTGAGCCTTGATAAGGTTGATAGCAATTTAAATGACTGAGATCATTAGTCACATGATCTGATGCTGCAGAATCTAAGTACCAAGGACTTTGAACTGAAGAAGAACCTATTGAGGAAGGAGACATAGAGGCTGTTAAGGATGTAACAAAGGCTCGTGGTTGCTGTTGTTGTTGTGAGTCTGAAAATTTTGATGTGAAGCCTGATATTGTAGATCCATGCGATACCAATACTCCAGTACAGAATGACTGGAGCCTTCTCAGATTTGGAAATTTTGATTTGAGAACCTTCCTCGACCTCGAAATGGCATAAATCTACCATAGCCTCTAGTTTGGCCTCCTCTTCTTCCTCTAGAATAAGATCGACCTCGATTGGAGCCAAAATTCTGAGATCTTGAAGAGGAAGTGTGAAAAGAATTTGGAGTTGGAGATCCTTTGACTGTAGAGAAAGCTATAGTTGATTTTGTGGATTTGTTTATCTTGGAATCTAAATAAATTACTTCAGAACATAGTAAAGCACAAAGATCATCCATGGTGATATTGTCTGGTCTAGCACGAATGGCAGTAGCAAATGAATCAAACTCAGAAGGAAGACCATTCAGAGTCACTAAGACTAGATCTTCATCTTCAATTTTAATAGATGCTAGGGCTAATTGACTGACAAGGTCCTTAATTTTGGAGAGATATTCTTCCATTGACTCAGTTTTCTTAATTTGTTTTTCAATTGGTGAATATGAGATCGAGACAAAGTTGTATACCTCTTGTGGAGAGAACTCCAGACCTCAGAACAATGATGAAACTGAAGTACAGATGCATAGATTGAAGGTGTAAGTGTTGCAGTGATACAACTGAGCAAGTGTGCATCAATCAAAGTCCATTGAAAAAATTCTGATTTTGGAACAGAAGCTCCCTCTGGATTTGTGATTGTAGAGGCTGGACATGGAATCGATCCATCAACATAACCAAGCAAATTTGTGGCTAGAAGAATATTCAAGAGCTGAGTCTTCCAAACAAGGACATTGGAACCATCAAGTTTGATAGTAACAAAGGATGAAAGATTAGAAATTAACAGAGTGAGATTTGAAAGAAGCAAGGATGATAATGGTGATGCCATGGATTAGTTGCTCGTTGGAGCTCAGAGGCTTTGATACCATGAAACAAAACTGAAACCAATATACTTTTCTTATTCAACAACCCATTTGATAACACATCAGCTATATTTATGTAAAAAGTAATAAGGAGCTCAACTAATCATCTAGAATAAAATATCTTCTAACAAACTAACTGTCTTCTCAACTGTGTAACTAACTCCTAAACAGATGAACTTCTTGAACTGCAATCTGAGCCAGAGTCACCTAAGCTGGATGCACTACTTGCACCTGAGCTGCTGCACTACTTGAACCTGAGCTGGCTGAACTATATCCCTCAACACTACTAATATTTTTTGCAGCAAAATTTTTATTTTTAGGAAAAAAAAAATTTGATTACTAAAACTCTTATACATTATAATGTCTGGTTTTGGAAAGAGAAAGACAAAATGTGAACGGAACATAAAGTTCTTCTCACTACTACAAAAATAGATAAAGATCACACTTTTTTTGTGTGATGTTTGTTATTTAATCACACCTTTTAAGTTTTATTAAAGTGTGATCTTTGGGAGTGTGATTAAAAATGGTCATTTTTAATCACACCGTTTAAGTGTGATTAAAAACATTTAGATCACACATTTTAAGTGTGATTAATAACATTTAGATCACACCTTTTAAGTGTGATTAAAAACATTTAGATCACATTTTTTAAGTGTGATTAAAAACTAATAAAACCTGTGATAATAAACTTTAGATCACATCTTTTAAGTATGGTTAATAACATTTAGATCACATCTTTTAAGTGTGATTAAAAACATTTATATCACATCTTTTAAGCGTGATTAAAAACTAATAAAACCTGTGATAATAAACTTTAGATCACATCTTTTGAGTGTGATTAATAACGTTTAGATCACATCTTTTAAGTGTGATTAATTACTAAAAAGTTTCGACATATTTGAATAATAATCAATATTATTTTTGTACGCGCATTTCAAGAATGTAATATACACTATATACTATACTTTGAATCATAACCACATATTCAATGGAATAACGTCATATATTTCATAAATGAAAGTTAAATATGTTCAAAAGTATATACAAAGGAATTAAATAAAAAAAATTTAAACTGTGCTTACATATATTAAAAAATAAAAAAAATAAAAAACTTGAAAAATTAAGTCCTTGAATTCTTTGACCATATTTTGCATCTCTCCAAGAAATTTCTAACCTGAAAAATAAAAACAGAAATTAATTCAGACACCACTAGAAGCATATGAATAAACTAACTATTTGTAGAGATTGTTCTAGTCTTACAAAAGATAAAGTCCGACTAATCACACCTCTTCAAATGTCTTAACATTAAATACCTCTACCATGACATGAAGCATGTAAAAACAAAATGTCACTTTACCCATAGAAATTGCAAGTTCAACAAAAATTTTACTATAACCAACAACTTAATTTAAGATGCTTTATCCATCTCAAATATTTAATGTTCTACAAAAGGAATGCAATTGAATGGTGATTGTGCAAATACTTTGAGTGCATTTCAGATATATGTGGTGTGTTGAATGCCCGTGTCCCATACAAAAACACTTAACAATTAGGCAACCCTAACCTGCAGCCCTTCATAAATATGCCAAAATTTTGAAAATGCATTCCTTCACTAAAATTTATCATTCAATGAACATGAGTTACCTGCACTGGCAAGCAGAATAAAAAGCAGTACAAGGTTCAGGTTTTCGTCCTGGAACAGCACTAAATTCCCCTGTTACAAACAAATATCACCATTAGCCAATCAAATCGACGAATCGAAAACTGAGAACAACACAGACCAAATAAGGGTATAGTTTCAAAATTCAAACAAGTTATTTTGATAAACCAAAGTCATCAATGAGTCTCTTTTTAGGCTTTAGAACAAACAATTGGAGTGCTATAAATTTTCAAACTTTCTTCTACACCCAAGAAAATGGGAAAAAGTATAAAAATAAAAATCATTAAACAACACACAATAAAATCATCAAAACTGAAGAGCTTAAACTGCTAATCTATAAGAAAGTTACAATTTTCATGCATTTGAATCACATTTTGTGCAGACTAAGCATTCATGAGCAATAAAGATTCTATAAAAATGAAGAAATTACAGAGATGAAGCATCTCTATTGACAGATCAAAGAAGCTCCATGAAATTTTTATATATTCAATAATTGCAACATTTAGTTCAAAAACAAAAACAAAAGGAAATAAAAAAAATAAAAATAAAAATAAAGCATTTGAAAGCAAACAATCAAACATATGCAACCTGTATAGCTAATATCTCGAAGTTAAAAAGGAAAAATGAAACTGGGCACTTTCAATATATATATACAGTGATGAAGAAGAAGATTGGAGGTTGTGTGCTGAGACTAAGGTCGAACAGAGCACTACAGTCATCAGTTGCTCTAATAATTTTAACAGAAAACTGAACAACCCAAACATATAAAACTTCCAATAGTTCAACCCAGAAAAGCAGAGTAACATTAGCTCTACTTGTTGTCCTCAAGAAATAGCTCTTGAACTACCCGAAAAGCTTCCTAGTATGAAACACTAACACTAACAATCTCCCAATCTCAATTAACAAATCATATCAATTCAACTAGACATGCTACCAAAAGTGAAAGTATGTTCCATTTCGTAAAAAGAAGGATGACCTATAATTGTCAATTAAATCTATCACATTCTATCTTCTAACTGAGCATTCTATGCCAACCCCTACCGTAACATTGCTGAGTAATATATGTATCTCATGCTCATTCTTTGTGTATGTGCTACAGTGATCACAGCTCAATCTATATTCACTTTGACATGAATTCCGGAAGTTCTGGGATAGACCTACCATTTCATTCATGTATGCTTTTACACTGCTTGTATACAAGTATGTATGCTTTTACACTGTATACACATACGTAGATACCATATATATGGAAAATTGCTTTGTGGAATGGTAAATGCTTGGACTGCATATTATAATCTGAGGGCAGCCACTTCATGCAAACAATGCCAAAGGTTGAGTTTGTAGCAGCCACTAATCAACCAACCAACAAAAACATCCAAGGGTCTATTTTTTTATTTCATATTAGAGTTTGATGTTGATATTAAAATTTGTAATGATGACTTACTTGAAACATGAAAATGACATTAAAAAAGAGGAAAATATTGATTTTTCTATTCCATAAAAAATATATATAAGTGAAATACTTACCCTGATTAAAAGGTTGCATTTCATGACTTCCAAAAGAGGATCTCTGATGTGTTTGTGGAGAAGCCTGGTGAATGCCACTAGATCCATCTGTCACCTCATTTATACAATAAAATTCACATGAGTATGATAAATTTAGAGAAGGATAACATATGATAAATTAATACATCATTTAGATACAAGTATTTGTTTTTTCATGTTATGAACATTCTTAGAATTATCAATACAATAATATAAACATAATTTGTGCATTTCTTTGCCTAATTCTCATATAGGTATATGTATATATATGTATAGATGTAATTAATCATACCATTTGCTAAATGGTTATGAATTCTTGTGCACAACAGGGCTAGCTATCAATTGAAAAAGGAGACAAAAAAATAGTTTCATTGCAAATCCTACAACATATGCATTTGCAGGGAAAATAAATCATTTGGTTCTCCAATTTTATTCAATGAAAAATATGCAACTAACTTCTGAACAGTAAAGGGAAGAAGGAAAAACTACACATACCAATGAAGTCCACTGTGACACGAAATATTTGCATTGTGTTCATTGAATTATTAATGCATTTCCCACCAGATTTTGTTGTAAGTATACCATTATGACAGAAATTAGGAATCCACTTAAGCAATCATGGGCATATATTGAACTTCTCTGCCGAGCCCAGACCTACACCATCAACAACAGAAACTAATTTTCCATCTAAACACTAGGACCTATTGCACCAAAATTTAAAATTGCCAAGGTATTGGGAATACATACTTTCAGCAAAATCAAAGCCTCTCCTAGCTCTTTCCATCCAAGGAAAGTTCTTCTGACAAATTCTGCATTATCCTCTAGAAACAAGTCCTCTAGTATACTACTATTGTACTTCGGCGTTGCTTGAAGAACACCCTTTTGTAAAAATTCAGAAAATACTATTAGTTACATCACCATGGAGCTCAAAAACAGCAATGTACCAAAATTGGTGGCTACAAACTACCTTGATTCAGAGCACGAACATTGTTTCGCTCCATGTTCAACTTTGAAACATTAAATACAGCTGTAGCTGTGGGAATTATTCTCATCACAAAAATAGGAGATTCAACCACCTTCAAATCTGCAGTAGCAATGAGAAATTTCCTTTCAGTTGCAACACAGGAATAAGAATACGGATAAGTGGCTTGTAAGCAAAATTTTCAACTCTTACATCACAATAAAAGCTACATAGTTTGATGTTGATATTACAAAAAGGTTTTCATTAAGATTTGAGACTATAAAGTGCTCAGTTAGCGAAATATTTGCCAAACAGTTTGTGTCATTTCACACTGCTTGGCTGTCAACAAAGACTTTGCTGATGTGCCTGTGAGGATTATTGCTCTGTTCTTTTAAAGCCATGGAGAACTTATGCCTATGACATGTGGAACTTTTATGAATCGTGTTGTGGCTTCTATGGTCTCCTTTAAACTAGTGGGTTTTGGAGATTCTGTGAAGGCTGAAGTGGTTGCTGTTCATAAGGGCTTGCCTAAAACATTTTAATAGGTTGGAGTACTATGACAAAGTGGCATCTTTGGCCCTTTCAGACATGGTCGTACAATTGTTAACTTTAAATATTTCTCACTCCATTATAGGTGGATTAAGATAATATTTGTAAGTGTCAACTAGTCAACAAAAAATAGAGAATTATTGGCAGAAAGAAAGAAATGTTGTCTCACTTCTTTTCTATACTGATTGAAATTGCGTTGCTGTGTTAGAACATAGTTGTGCACAGATTAAGCAAGGAAGCTTCGAAACCTTGACAACTTTCTTACCACCCTAGGATTTAAATTTTAAGGCGGATATTTTTGCTACAGGAAGCCCACTGGCCTCTATTAAGCTCAATTGAAGATTTCGTGATTTTAGGGTTAACCTAGTGCATATTGAGGGGGGAGAACCGGTATAGCATATGGTTAATCAATAAAAACCATCTATTTAAATGACAACATCAATTATTAGTTACATTGAGGGAAACTTCCTCTTTCATTTCTAGTAGGTCACACTATCAATGGACTAATCTCAAACTCACCCATTGATGAAGCTAAACTTTGAATAATGCTATGTTAATATAAAATGAGGGTACAAGTACAGGACATGATTTTGATCCTTTTGTTTTGAAAAGGATACTTCTTATTTTTTTCCTTTTTTTGAGGAAAAATGAAATAAAATTTGGAGTAAAATCATTACATTCTATATTTTACAGTACTAATACATAAAAAAATATAGTAAATGTATCATATTACATACAATTGCATGCATTGGCAATATATATTAAAAGTATAATAAAATCATTACATTCTATATTTTGCAGTACCAATACATAAAAAATATAGTAAAATTATCATATTACATACAAATGATATTTTATAGTAAAAATATAGATTGGGTCTTTCTTATGGTTGGTGAAAATAAATTGTTCTATTTTTTTCTCTCTTTTTTTCCAATCACTAATCTTGATAAGTGATGCTCTTGGATTCATCCGAAAACCAGAGCAAAATGTTCATACGGATTTTTCATGAAATAGCCTCAAAGGAAAGGCCCATAGAGAAAACAAATGACATGAAACAGTTGAAAAGTGTGATATGCAGCACCACAAAGTGAAATAAGTAATCAAAACAAGCATTAAACTTGGAACACACTAGAGAAAAATGCAGAGAAATCAGTTGTCGAAAAGAGCATGAAAATTAAATGGGAGTTAGCTTCACCTGATCATAGTTGAGGTTTTCTACAGAATGGTCTACAGCAGCAATAGTCCCAACTTGTTGCCCACGAAAATAAACCAATGAATGCCTCAAAGACTCCCATGCCTCGAAGACTATGGGATGTGTCTCAACTCTACTTATTCTAGGGCTACCAATTCTAGATCTTCTACCTGTAGAATAAACATTGTCGATATGATCAAACACATGCGAGGTGGCATTTTCAAAACTTCTGAATAAATGGCGTGGCGGTGATAAAAAGATTGACATCACACTGAAGGACCTCTCATCGAAGGATCGATTCCTCTCTATGTTAATAGATCTCGGCTTGTCCAATAACTTCCACAAATCAGTATCTTCAATTTTGAATAGTGAGTATCCCCCATCAAGATGTTTCATATGTCCATTTTGATATGTATCCATTGGGGAAGGAGACATTACCAAATTTTTCATTGATTTTTTAAACTGTCCAATAACAATTTATGGCTATAAAGGTCTGCATTAGATCAGCAAGATTCAAAATCAGATAGCAAACCAAATTGCCACAAGTTACACACTCAACCCATAAACACTTTGTAATGCGTGTGTACAACAACAATAAGTCTAAGAAAAAACCAATCACAGAATTGAACACTAAAAATGCAAAAAATTTCAGAGGCGGGTCCAGACAACAAATCTTGTAAAATCACGTCCATTGATATATTTTGTGTGTTTGATTATGTGTTCCTAACTGTATTCGTACAACAATACTATTTACCTAGAAAAATCCTCCCGCCACAGATGTAACCACCTTCGCATTCCATTGTGGATTCAACAAAACAATTGCAAAATATAAGAATGTCCTGTTTATTTAAATGAAATAAAATCAGATGAAATCGTCAAAATATATTCAGATAGACAGAAAGATATAAGAAATTAGACCGCACCAGGAACACCGGCGAATCGGAGAGTCTCTTCAATCTGTGAATCTGAGCGGACCGATGTTCTTGAAGCTGAAAGCTTCGAGCCTGCTATTAATGGCTGCGGTGGTCCCTGAGCAGCTCCTTCGCCACTGGAATGAGAGCAGCAGAAGGAAAGCCAACGAAGTGAGAAACAAAAGAGTGAGGTTCCTTAACCCCGTCGCTCGACGTCATCGTCTGTCGTGCTCACAGTCACGAGAGAGAGAGAGAGAGAGAGAGAGAGAGAGAGATGAGGATTTTTGGTTCAAGAATTAGGGATTTGAGATTTGTGGATTTTTGGTTAAGAGGGGAAAAACGAGCGAGAATCAAATTTTGTGCTTTTTTTTTTCTTTTTTTTTTTCACCACATCAAGCATAACTGGCTCAAATGAAAATTTAAGGTACGGTTTGATAACACTTATATTTTTAATTTATGTTTATAAAAACTTTATAAATTAATTTTTATTTATTTTTTAAAAAATATATAAATTACAAATGCGTTTGAACAAAATATTTTAAAAAAATTAAAAATATAAACTAAAAAATATGTTTATCCAGGTCTAAAATATTTATATTTATTTTTTTATTATTTATGACAATGAGATCATACACATTTTAATTGAAAAAAAATTAATTGAAAAAATTTTATTTGAAAAAAAAATATTTAAAAAATAATTTAAAAAATTAATTTAAAAAAATATTTGAAAAAACAATTAATTAAAAAAAATTGTTAGTCAAATTTTTAGATTTCTATTTAAAAACTAGCGTAAACTCATTTTTTGAGAGAGATGAGTGAAAGAGAGGGAAAAGATAGATGAGCGAGAGACACAGAGAGAAAGAGACAGAAAGAGAGAGAGACCCATTTCATTTTTTGACTTTTTTCTCTTTCAACAACAATGGGCTCAAAGAAAAAGATGTGAATGAGAGAAATGAACGATTGAGAGAGAAGAGAGATGAGGGAGAGAGAGAAATAAAAATAAAAATAAAAAAGAGAAACAAGGTTAGTGAGAGAGCGAGAAAGACAGCAAAAAGAGATGAGCAAGAGATATAGAGAGAGAATGAGAGAGAAGAAAGATGAGTAAGACCATCTCCAACGGTTCATCAAACCCAGCATCAAATTTAAAATTTGGTGAAAAAGTTACTGTTTGATGCTCCAACGGTTGCACCAAATCGATATCAAAATGAGATTTCACCAAACATGTCATCAAACTAAGAACAGGCGAAGCATTTCACCAAATCACTGTTACTAACCGTTGGGGTGATACCAGCCGGTCGACCGGTCGGTTGACCAACCGGTCAACCAGTAAAAGATTCAAATAGTTCCAAAAAAAATTCAAACAGTTCAAAAAAAAAAAAAAATTCCCTAACCGGTCAACCGGCCGGTCGACCACCCGGTCGTCCCGGAAAAAGTTCAGAAAGTTCAACAAAAACGATTCAGACAATTAAAAAAAAAAATTCACTCACCGGTCGACCACCCGGTTGTCCCAGGACAGATTTGGTGAAAGGTAAACCGTTGGAGCATCTGGTACCATATTTGGTGAAATGAGTCATTTTTTACTCAAATTTAATGAAAAATCTGATTCACCGTTGGAGATGCTCTAAGAGAGATGAGAGAGCCAGAGAGAATAGTGATGAGTGAGAGAGAGAGACACACACACACACACAGAGAAAAAAAAAGAGAAACAAGATGAGCGAGAGATAGACAAAGAGAGAGAGAAAGAGAGAGAGAGAGAAACAGCAAAAAGAGATGAACAAAAGATATAGAGAGAGACATAGAAAGAGAAAGAAAGAGAGAGAGAGAGAGAGAGAAGAAAGATGAGCAAGAACGATAGAGAATAGAGAGAGATGAGAGAGCCAGGGAGAAGAGTGATGAGTGTGTGTGAGAGAGAGAGAGAGAGGCCCATTTCATTTTTTGACTTTTTCTCTTTCGACAAGTGATTAAGAGAAATGAGAGATGGGCGATTGAAAGAAGAAAGAGAAAGAGAGAGAGAGAGAGAGAAGATCGATAATCGAGAGGGAGATCGGTAAATCAATAAGAGGGAATGGAGAGAGTGAGCAACGTGAGCACAGTGTGGGAGAGAGAGAGAGAGAGAGAGAGAGAGAGAGAAAGACATAGCTAGAAAGACAAAGAGTGATGAGTAGGGGTAATGAAAAAAAAAATTTATTTTTTTTATTTTTTTAGTTACTAAGTTGAAAATTTATTTGTTTCATATTTATTTTAATGATTTTTTTTTTTTTTTGTAGAAGTAAGGGCAATATTTTAATGAAAAATATTTTCCATTAAAATAAAGTTAATTTTTTTTTGTCAATGAAAAATATTTTTCTACGGCCTTTTTTTTTTTTTTTTTTGCAAAAATGAGAGTGGCATAGGAGAAGCAGTGGCAGTAGTGGTGAATGTGGTGGACAAGAGGTGGTGGTAGTGGTGGTGGTGGTGGTGGTGATAGCGAAGGAGATTAGTGGTGAAGTTGTAGTAGTAGTAGAGGAGATGGAGCGGCGGTGGTGGAGGAGAGGTAATGGTAGTAGTAATGGCAGTAGTGGTAGTGGTTGTAGTGGAGTGGTGGTGATGGTGGATAAAAGGTAATGGTAGTAGTGGTGGCAGTAGTGGTGGTGGTCATAGTTCCACCAATTGATTTAAGTATGGTGTTTGTTTTGAGCTTTTATATCATAATTCTACATCTATTTTTCAAAACTCAATTCAAAATATAATCATTATTTTTCAAAACTCATAACCAAACACATAATTCAAAACTCTTTTAAAAAATTAATTCAAATCATTTTTAAAAATATTTTAATATTTTAAAAATATTTTAATTTTGTGAGAGACAGATAAAGAAGAGAGAGACAGAGAGACAGAGACAGAGTGATGAGCGAGAGAGAGACAAAGTGGTTGCTAAAAGTATATTTTCTTATAGTGGATCGATAAATCGAGAAGGAGCTCGATAAATAGAGAAGGTGGGAGGGAGAAAGTGAGCAAGGCGAACATAGTGAGGGAGAAATAAACAAATAGAATAGCAGATAGAGACAGAGTGATAAATTTTTTTTTGTATTTTTATGTATTTATTATTTTTTAAAAATATTTTTAAATTTTTTTTTTATTTTTTAGATACATCTAAGTAAGGTGCATCTAAAAAAAATATTTTAAATTTTAAAAATATTCACTAAAAAAAAAAAACACGAAAGTCACTTTTTTGCGACGACAGAAAATGCCGTCGCGAAAAAGCAGAGTATTTGCGACGGCAGAAAATACCGTCGCAAATACTCTCCTTTTTTGAGACGGCAAATTGTGCTGTCGCAAATGCTTTGCTTTTTTGAGACAGCAAATGGTGCCGTCGCAAATGCTCTGCTTTTTTGAGACGGCAAATGGTGCCGTCGCAAATATTTTGCTTTTTTGAGACGGCATTTTATTTTTTTGATCCCCTTCTCGTTGCCCCCCGCGTGTATGTGGGCGTGGTGGGGTCATCCCCAAGTGGGGTCTGGATCATCTCTGAAAAACTTAATGACGAAAATCGAAGAAATACAACAGAGGGGAGACGACTATTTCTGTACCATAATTCTGCGATTACATTAAAAAAATGTTATAGTCGAAAACGTAACTTTAATTTTTTGGTAAACTAGGTAAATCTTTGAATTTTTCGCATGTGATTGATTTTTCATTTCTTGTTCCTATTTGTTTATGTTCCGTCAATTCGTAACATGTATCGATACATTTTTTTACCAATATATCAACTGATACGAATCTATATTGATATTTATCTGGGTAATGTTATTTAAAATCGTGGGAGAAAGAGGCTTACGATAACACTGAGGCCAGTGACATTGGAGAGAGAAATGGCGATGGAGCTGCTAGAGAGAGAGCGAGAGTTCACCTAGGTGACCAACCATCATGGTGGATATAACTTGCAACAAATACGGGGATAGACCCACCACCACTATGGGTGCGACTATGCAGCCCAGCCTCTTCACCTCCTCACCCAACACACGCCATGGTAATCCACCACCACCTTTCTTTTCCCCATCTTTCAATAACAACAAACTCTCTTCCATTCTCTTCTCTCCCTCTCTCCTAAGCTGACTGTCTTCTGACACCTTGTAGAAATTGGGTGGGTGGGTGGGTGGGGGAAGCTTACAGGGCTTGCATCATGAGTTTGAAGGGGGGAGGAGTGTGAATGCGTGTTTTGTATTACACGAGATTTGTTCTTATATATTTAGTGATCTCTATCTTAATGAGTCAAAAGAAACTGAGAAGATATATATGAATGTGTTTATTGTGGGATTGTTGGAAAAATATTAATAATTCCCACGATATCACATCATTTATTATATTTTTTCATATTTTTTAATTATTAGATACAAAATTCTAATATTATATCTTCTCCATCAATCATAATAGTATAAAACACCATGTGACCGAACTCCAAGAATACCCAATAATCACCCGAGATTTCATATTTTGAGATTTTATTTTTGTTTTTGTTTTTTTTTTGTTTTTTTTTTTTTTAATGTTAATGACGGAGTGCTTAGATCAACTTACGCGCATCTTAACTAATTTTGAAATTCACGCAAAATGCCTCATCCACATGAATTGGACAAATCTCAAGCAAAGCGCCACATAATGATTGTCATTAGTAAAATCCTAATTACATATTTTTATTCTTGAATGTTCACTTAAATTTTGTTTTAATTCTTTTTCTTTTTAATTGTGCTGGCTTTTTGGCTTTCGAAGGTGATTATTGTAATTATGAGCGTGCTAGCAAGGATCAATCAATCCTTACAGAGAATTAATTGCCAACCAATTATTAGATGATTGTGTTTTAGTTCTTTTAGCCTCAATGAAGATGACTTTTACTGGTGGCTTGATTTAGAAGAATTAAGCAAATAACAATCAAATAAAGAACAATTGAAGCATTTCATTAAAAGGAAAAACTTGCAACGATCCAATTCAGCCTCATAGAGGTTTACAGCAACAATCTACTTGAAACTACTCCTATGAATGACGTGCAGTGCAGGAATTTTAAAGGACAGAAATGTAAAGAATAGGAAATGTAAAACTGGAAAGGAAACAAAGTAGAATAAGACTGGCTTTTTGGATTTGAGTCTGGGGATCTTTTCTGGGGCCTTCTCTGCTATTTATACTTCTCAAGGATGACCATCGAACTGCACTTCCAACCGTCGAATTACTTCTCCATGATCGCTGATCATGTTGCCTTATAGTTAGCTCTACTATGCCATCAC